CCTAGGTTTCGCCAATTTCTACCGGCAGTTTATTCCCGCCTTTGCTCATGTAGCCCTCCCATTAACCGAGTTGTTACGCACAAAAAACACAGGTGAAAGGGCAAGGCCGGGACAGACATTGCTCTGGACTACGGAATGTCAAACGGCTTTCGATGGATTGAAAACCATGTTTTCACAAGCTCCTATTTTGCGACATCCCAACCCAACCTTACCGTTTGTTGTACAAGCAGATGCCAGCGATGTCGCTGTCAGTGCGGTCTTGTTGCAAAAAGACCCTAAAGGAACGCTATACCCATGCGCTTATACGTCTCGTAAGTTTACCGTCACTGAGCGACGCTGGGCCATATGGGAAAAGGAGGCCTTTGCAGTGCGGTGGGCATTGCTTACGTGGCGACATTTGTTGGAAGGTAGCGGTGTCAAGTTTGAAGTGTGGACAGACCACAAGAATTTAGAAGCTCTCCAAAACCTGAGACGATTATCCCCTAAACAAGTACGATGGGCCCAGTATTTCCAGCGTTTCAATTTTGACTTGAAATATGTGCCGGGTGGGAAGAACTTTTTGGCTGATGCGCTCTCAAGGTTACCACAATTTGCTAGTAAACGGGAAGATGTGGTGCAAGCGATGATGCCAGGAAAACAACAGGTGGGCCGAACATCACACGACGAACCGTCTACCAAGTGGAAGGAAGAGTTACAACGAGCGTTGGCTACTGATAATTGGTTGTCGAACCATGAAACTATGGTAACACGTCGTAATGGCTTTGCCTGGGTCGGAGATAGATTATACATTCCTGAATCTTTACGTCAAGCCGTATTGAGGAAATGTCACGATGCTAAGACGGCCGGCCATTTCGGCTTCCTCAAAACATTACACCTAGTACGACGACAGTTTTGGTGGCCACGCTTGAGGAAAGAGGTTGAGCAATATGTCTACAGTTGCAAAGAGTGTGCCGTGGCAAAGCCACGGCCAGGAAAGCCCCTCGGCCTTTTACAGACTGTAGCAGAACCCACAAGGCCCTGGGATGAAATTGGAATGGATTTCATTGTAGACCTTCCGGAAAGCAATGGGAATACTGTGATATGGACTGTAATCGATCTTTTTTCTAAGCAGGCCCATTTCATACCGTGTCACGGCTTGCCATCAGCTCAGAGGTTGGCGAGAATGTTCATTTGGCATATATACCGGTTGCATGGAGCACCCCGCCGTATCATTTCTGACAGGGGGGTTCAATTCACCGCTAAGTTCTGGCGAGAATTCGTTCAGATGATTGGATCATCGCAAGGCCTAAGTTCTGGCTTTCATCCAAGCACCAACGGAGCTGCCGAGAGGGCTAACGCCATGGTGGAGCGGTACTTACGTTGTTATGTATCGTATCAACAGTCAGATTGGTCAGACTTGCTCCCGTTCGCCGAGATAGCGTATAATAACACAGTCCATAGTAGTACAGGAAGCACACCCTTCCAGGTTGTATCAGGGAAAGAGTTTCCTGCCATCCCTGAATTGGACTTACATGATCAAGAAAAGGTGTCTCCTGATGCGTGGGCTACTCGCATCGGAAACCAATGGCCACGAATAAAAGAAGCGTTAGAAAAAGCAACCGATTCATACAAAACGCAGGCAGATAGAAAGAGAGCGGACCACAAGCCATTTACGATAGGGGATCGTGTCTATCTCTCTACAAAATACCTAAAATTAGGGACACCTAGTCGGAAACTAGGACCCAAATATGTAGGGCCCTTCCCTGTGCGAAAGATCATTAATCCAGTAACCATAGAACTAAAGTTACCACCGCTACTGGGTAAGGTTCATCCTGTGTTCCATAGCAGTTTATTAAAACCAGCGGACTGTGTCCGGGAACAATTAGAAAAGCCCGGCCCCGTAGAGGGGGACCACTACGAAATAGAAGAGGTGTTAGATTCTCGGATCCATAGGGGTAATATACAATACCTGATAAAATGGAAAGGATACCCATTTGAGGAGGCATCCTGGGTGGGAGCTAAGGATGTACATGCCCATCGCCTACTGAAACAGTTTCATAGACGCTATCCACAAAAACCGGGTCCATAAGGTAGGAGTTATAGTGCCCTAACAGGTTGTTAACATGTTCCTTTATATCTTCCAGGAGCACCCGTGGTAGGGGGAGCCGCCTGTCGAGACCGCCCCTCGACAATACAACCCACAGCGGCACGCAGGAAGCCCTGATTGACAGCCACCAGCAATAAAGAACTTTAGGGGGTTGATTGGGGGTGTTTGGGGACTCACAGACACATTGGTGGTGGGGGTGTTTGTTATCCTAGGCGGTCGGTCACGTAGCGGCCGGCATAGGGAGACTCGTCGATTGACACCTTCCCTCCGTTGGAATTGAGGGACGAGCCGTTTCGCGCATGCGCCAGGAACGCTGTACCCGGAAGGGCGTGGGTGCGGCTGGCGCGGGGATTTAAAAGGGCGTGGGAGGCAGACGCTCCCAACGCCGACTTTGTGCTAATTGCATGTGTACTGCTTGGTTTCGCCGGAGCTGCTTGACCGAATTAAACTGCTGAAGCATCTAACCGCTGTCTGTAGCGTTTTCTTCCTGGTTTGGCCAGGCTCACGGCGTCAAGTCTGACACAGAGGCATTTAAAAGAAAAAAGCCTCTGCCGAGCAGGCAACTCAGCTGGGATCGTCAGAGCCTTTTGAAAGCATTTTTTTAAATTGGTCACGCCCACCCAGTCACATTACCCCCCCCAAGCCATGCCCACAGAACCGGTAGTACCAAATTTTAGATTTCACCACTGCTTCCCAGGTGCCTGGGAAGGGAGGGCACTGGGCTCCACCCAATGACTTCTGCTGTTGCTGCTGCCCATTGCATCCTGCCTGCCCCCTCTCTGCCCCCAACTTCTCGGGGACACTCCAGCATTGTGAGGAGGAGCTGGGTGAAGAGCGAGGCCAGGCAGGAGCCGCAGGATCTAACATCTCTAACATCTAACAATCGGAAGAATCTGGAGTTGAACATTCTTAAAACTCGACAGATGATGGTAGATTTTAGGAGAAGCTCTCCTATCCCACCACTGAGGATAAATGCTTGCAATGGGTCAGCGGTAGAAGGGCTCTTGCGGTGAAGTGGTGTGGCCAGGCAGCCATGTTCAGTTGTCCTAGACCCCCTGGTGAGTTGGGCCGAGAGAGATGGACTGGCCCAAGATCACCCAGCAGCTTTCATGGCTAAAGTGGGACTTGAACCCACAGTCTCTTGCTTTCTAGCCTGGTGTGAAACTGGTTCTCATTATACTTTCCTGCCTCATTGAGTGACAAACCAGGGCAGGAACTCACTTCTGCACGGCTTCATTTGCTCAGACTTGGTTCCTGTTTTCTCCATTCTTTGAATGTAGTTAGAGAGAACCAGTAGAATTGTACCCTGTTGTGGTACAAATGGTTTAATCATTCCTAAAAGGAAACTATTCTCGATTCCCAGATATATTATGCATCCCTTTAGGATGAAGGCCATCCCAGAATGATAGAAGCCATCATGTCTCATTTGTGGCTTTCAGCCAATTACTTCCATTTCTGAATGTTCCTTTTCCCCCCAGATTCTTCCCTATCTGAGGAAGGTCCAGTTCAACAACAGTGCTGGAGAGGAAATTTCCTTCTCAGAAAATGGACTGGGATCTGCTCGTTATGATCTTATCAACTGGGTTCTCTGTCCCAATCGATCTTTTGTGCCTGTAAAGGTTGGGGAAATAGATCCTGGGTCTCCCTCAATAAAGGATTTCACCATTGCCTCCAATGCAATCACCTGGGCCTCAAAGGTGAGCTGGAAGGAAACGGTGTAATTTCAGGGAAAGGCTCATTCTCTCCTGAGGATACAGAATTCCCTTCTAACTCAAAACAGGACGACTGAAATAGAAAATGTGGCAGCCGTTGGTGGAAAACCTGCCTTGCATGTAACAGAATTGGTGATTGATAGATCCAAGAGAAGGGATGGGATTGGGAAAACCACTTGATTGAAACCCAGATGCAATTGGAACAGGCAACAGTGATCTCCATGGACCATTCAGTTGGATCTTCATGATACCAAATTTGCGGATGATACTAAGGTGGCAGGAATAGCCAACACTCTAGAAATTAGGCTCAAGATCCAGATGGATCTTGACAGACTTGAACACTGGGCCCTATCTAACAAAATGAAATTCAATGTAGAGAAAAGTAAAGTCTTACACTTAGGCAAGAAAAACCAAAAGCATGCATGTAAACTGGGGGAAACCAGGCTCAATAGCAGTGACTGTGAGAGGGATCTTGGAGTCTTAGTGGACAACCAGCTAAATAGGAGCCAGCGGTATACAGTGGCAGCCAAAAAAGCCAATGCAATCCTAAACTGCATTAACAGAGGGATTCAATCCAGGTCATGTGAGGTACTAATACCACTCTATAAAGACCACACCTAGAGTACTACATCCAATTTTGGTCACCAGACTATAAAAAAGATGCTGAGACTCTGGAAAGAGTGCAGAGAAGAACAACCAGGATGTTTAGGGGACTTGAGGCTAAAACATATGTTGAATGGTTGCAGGAACTGGGCATGGCTAGTCTAGTGAAGAGAAGGACCAGGGGACACATGATAGCAGTCTTCCAATATTTGAGGGGCTGCCACAGAGAGGAGGAAGGGGGCCAAGCTGTTTTCCAAAGCACCTGAAGACCAGACAAGGACTAATGGATGGAAACTGACCAAGGAGAGATTCAGCCTGGAAACAAGGAGACATTTTCTGACAATGAGAGCAATCAACTAATGGAACAGAAGTTCCTTCAGAAGTTGTGGGAGCTTCGTCACTGGAGGCTTTCAAGAAGCGACTGGACTTCCATCTGGCCTGGCCTGAACCTCCCAGGAGTTTCCCCCAATTTTTCTGGTAGACGATGGTGAATCATTCCTTTGGAAGACATTCTGGAGAGGGAAACAGGACAATGGAAACAAACAAATGAAGAACATTCATTGCTTAGGCCATTTCAACCATTTCTCTCTTCTCTTCAGAAGGTGCCCTTTGCCAGGTGTGGCATGAAGAGGTGCCAAGCAGGAGAGAGGAGAAACGTTCCAGAGGGCGAGCAGGTCTGCTGCTACCAGTGTGATCCTTGTCCAGAAAGGACCATCTCTAACCAGGCAGGTAAAGCACACTTCAAATGCAGATCTTTGAGGTTCAAGGAAGTCATTCAGTAGATCAGAATATTGATTTTTAAAATCAGTTTTGGTACGATTGACATGTCTCAAAGCATTCGTGGTTTTTCAGCAGAACCTCTCAGTTTATGTATTTCAATGGTCTTGTCCCCACTTTTCCCACTCATGAGCAATGAAGGGGAGTTTCAGGGTGCAACTTATGTTTTTCCCTACTGTCCTTTCCATTCTCATATTTCTTTGGCAAAACCAACCAACAATGTTTTTTGAAGTTGTGGGATATGTAGTTCAAGCTTTAATTTTGTTATTTACAGTGTGTGCTGCTTCTTTCAGCACGATCAATCTCCCTGGAAATTATTAGACCTGTGAGAGAGATCCTTCTACATATGTCTGCTAGCTCTTTCCTGCAAAAAACAGCAAGGAACAATTCTATTCTATTCTCTCCCACTCTCTCCCTCCATCCCCCCCTTTCTCTCTGCCGGTTCCAGGTGTGGCTCAGTATAAATAAAGACAGAGTCCAGGTATTTGCCTTAATAGGTTTTACATGTTTATTCAGCTGAATAAAGATGGGACCCTCCGAGCAAGAGGGAACCCCCAACATACTTTGACACTTGTATTTACAGTACAGAAATTGTCCTTGGGGGTCCTCCAAGGGTATTGGGTGTCATCTCAGGGACATTAGATGTTTCCTGAGGAACTTTCCATGACTTTGAAGGCCTGCAGAGGCATCAACAGTATCATTGGCACATATGCTTGCTCAAGACTGTCAAGAGAAATATTAGATTCCTGGTTTGCTTCCCCCTCCTCTCTCCCCCCCTCCCCCCCTCCACCCCCCTCTCTGTGATCTTCTCAACACACACCCAAACTGATAATGTACACACACACAAGAGCAGGCCTTCTTGATGAAGATTTATCAGTCTTCTGGGGATACCAATATTAAGTAGGAAAAAGGTTGGCAATCTCTGTGGCAATGAAAGCCACAGTAGCCATGGAAGTGCCCGGTGACTGGAGAGGACCTTGTCTTTCTGAAAACCAAACCGATGCTTGTTTCTGACTGACCGATGCTCAGGGTCATCCCAAATGAAAGTTGCTTTGCTCTTTTTGATGCACCTTAAAGTGCTGAGTGGGTGATTCCAAAAACACATTTGTGGATTGGCCAAAAGAGAAAGTGGACAGTCAAGTCACCCCTGAGGGAAGGATAATATTGATGACAAATGCCTCCAAAATCCTTGGACAAAGACTTTCATCTTATCGTTTTATCTTGATTTCAGATGCAGCTCACTGTGATCCCTGCTCAGAAGACCAATATCCCAACAAGGACAAGGACCACTGCATTGCCAAGAAGATCCATTTCCTTTCCTATCAAGACCCCCTGGGATACACTTTAGCTTTGCTCTCACTTTTTCTTTCTATGATCACCTTGGGAGTTCTAGCAATTTTCCTTAAACATCGTGACACACCAATTGTCAAGGCCAACAACCGAGATCTCACCTACATCCTCCTGGTCTCCCTCCTGCTCTGCTTCCTCTGCTCCTTCCTCTTCATTGGTCGACCAGGGAAGCTCATTTGTCTCTTCCGACAATCTGCCTTTGCCATTCTCTTTTCCCTTGCAATTTCCTCTGTCTTGGCAAAAACTGTCATGGTGGTTCTGGCCTTCATGGCCACCAAACCAGGTAACAAGTCAAGGAAACTTTTAGGAAAACCACTGACAAACTCCATTGTCTTAGCCTGTCCCCTGGTCCAAGCAGTTCTTTGTGCCACCTGGCTGGTAATCTCTCCCCCATTTCCCAACTGGGACTTCCACTCCTTGGTAGGAGAGGCCATCTTGGAATGTAATGAAGGCTCAGCTTTAATGTTTTATGCTGTCCTCGCCTATCTGGGTTTCCTGGCCTTTGTCAGTTTCACAGTGGCCTTTCTGGCTAGGAAATTGCCCGACAGCTTTAACGAAGCCAAATTCATTACTTTTAGCATGCTGGTATTTTGCAGTGTTTGGATCTCCTTCCTCCCCACCTACCTGAGCACCAAAGGGAAGTCCATGGTGGCCGTGGAGATCTTCTCCATCTTGGCTTCTGGGGCTGGTCTCTTGGCTTGCATCTTTTTCCCCAAATGCTACATTATCCTATTGAGGCCCAGTCTGAATTGTAGAGAAAATATGATAAGAAACAAGAATCTCTAAGTAATGCTGGGAAAGGCACCATTTATATTTAACTTTGAGGCATATTTAGAAAGGGACAGACCCTAAGAAGCAAGGAACCACCAAGGCCATTTCTCTAGGTGTCTGACAAAGAAATGAACTATTCTCAGAATAAAAGGATGATTCCTTATTGGGCAATGTAGACATCCAGGGATGGGGAGAAGGAGAAGCTATTGTTTAACCATGCAAGCCCTGCACGGGAAAAACCAGAGCTGGTTTTGATTCTTCAGTACCGAAATGGTGTAGCCAATAAAGTTTTGCTTTTGGAAGTACAAAGTTCCCGAGTGTGCTTACTTTTGTTGGGTTTCTAGTCGGACTGTTGACCTGTAGTTCAAGTTATTTCAGATTTTAAGTTTCTTCAGATTTTAGTTCAGGTTATTTTAGATTTAGATCAGGCACCCACAACTTCTGAAGGGAAGTCATTCCACTAGTTAATTGTTTTTGCTGTTAGGAAATTCCTCCTTAGTTCCAGGTTGCTCCTTTCCTTGGTTAGTTTCCATCCATTGCTTCTTGTCCTGCCTTCTGGTGCTTTGGAGAATAGCTTGACTCCCTCTCCTTGGTGGCAGCCCTTCAAATATTGGAAGACTGCTATCATGTCACTCCTAGTCCTTCCCTTCTCTAGACATACCCAATGGATAATCATTGCTCTGAAATGGTATAGATTCTCTTACTTGAGCAGGGAGTTGGAGTACTAGAAGATTACCAAGGTCCGTTCCTGCTCTGTTATTCTGTTATTTGCACCCCCTGAATAAACTGTGGCACAGGCCAAATGCCATCTGTCTGCTTCATTGGCTCCCATGCCCAACTCCACCCTGATTCTCAAGTCCATTTTTTTAAAAAAATTGATTTATATGCCGCCCTTCTCCAGAGACTCAGGGCGGCTTACAATGCGTTAAGCAATAGCCTTCATACTTTTGTATATTTATGCAAAGTCAGCTTATCGCCCCCACAAACTGGTCCTCATTTCACCTACCTTAGAAAGGATGGAAGGCTGAGTCAACCTTGAGCCTGGTGAGATTTGAACTTACAGTAATTGCAGACAGCTGGTGTTAATCACAATGCTATCAGTCTGCTGAGCCACCAGGCACCATTTGCTCTATGGATTAACAGAAAGAGACAGAAACCTGTTTTTCCGTTTCTGACATATGAAGAAAAGCCACTGTGTCAGGGTTCCAAGGAAGACCCCCAACAAAATAAAGCTCTGAGGCCTGAGATTCCTCAAAGTTCCAATTTATTAGAGATGTCATGTTCACAGCCATGCCCCACCCCCACAGGTTCATCACATTGTCCAATCAACTTTTCACACTCCACTAGATACAATCTTCAGGCAGTCTCCATCAGACGCAGGCAAAAGTCCTTGAATACGGAATATTGTTATGACTAACTTTCTATTGCTCCAACAACAACCCCCTCCCAACTTCCCCAGCTAAAATATGTGGCAGTTAAGAAGCAAAAAAGGAAATTGTCTTGAGTCTCTCTAAGAGCCTCTGGAGGCTGGGGACAGCAAAAAAAGTCACTTCCTGTCCCACCAGGAGTTGGGAAATGGGCCGTTTCAGGCCTCCAGAGGGCTTCCGAGGGAGTGGGAAAGGCTGTTTTCACCCTCCCCAGATGCATACAGAGGTTCTGGAGCCAGGTGAGAAAGAAAAACGGGCCTTGCCCACCCCACCCCCCAGGCCCTCCGGAGGCAGGAAACAGCCTATTTCCCTACTTCTGGTGGGCCCAGAAGGCCTGAAAATCAGCTGGCCAGCGCACGCATGTGCACCAGAGCTGAGCTGGCGTGCCCACTGATATGGCTACGTGTGCCACCTGTGGCACGTGTGTCATAGGTTCACCATCACGGGTCTATGAGATCATAGTTGGCTTTTTTAAAGTTATAACTGTTCCTTACTGTCCTTTCCATTCTTGTATTCCTTTGGAAAAACTAACCAGCAATGTTTTCCTGAAGTTGTGGGATGTATGGTTCAAGCTTTAATTTTTGTTATTTATGATTCTTTCAGTACTATCAATCTCCCTGGAAATGATTAGAACTGTGAGAAAGATCCATCTACGTATGTCTTCTAATTCTTTCCTTTAATAAATAAACAAATAAACAATGAACTATTCTATTCTACTCCACTCCACTCCACTCCACTCCATCCACTCCATTCCATTCCATTCCATTCCATTTTCTCTCTCCCTCCCCTCTCTGTCTCTGCTGGTTTTAGGTGTGGCTCAGTATAAATAAAGGCAGACTCCAGGTATTTGCCTCGATAGGTTTTACATGTTTATTCAGCTGAATAAAGATGGGCCCCTCTTGGACTTCCGGTTTGTCTGCCTCCGACGAAAGACGGTCCCTTTTTAAGGACCGCCAGCCCTGCCGCCTGTAGAGCCGCTTCGATCCCAAGAAGCAGCTTGAAAACTCTGAAATCTGAAGGATTGGAGGAGAAGAGCCAGCAAGGTGCAGGTTGAGCCCTGTGAGCCCCCAGAAAATTGCTACTTGCTGAGACTCCGGACGGCGTGGGACGACTCTGCCTTCCACAGAGCAAGTCAGCTGCAGCAACCATTCAAGCTAAACAAAATTAACTTTAATAATTAGCGCAAACAACAACTTGAACCCTCAAATCTGGAAACTGCAAGTATTACTGTTTTTGTGACCTTCTGCTTTAAGTAAAAGTACGAGCGAGTGAAAGCGGCTTGAAAAAATGGCGCCCGGCTTCAGTGTTAACAAGCTGAGAGTGAGAATGGATTTGTAAAGTTATTTTAACCAGCTACAAAGTTGCGCTGCCTGTAACAAGGAGGAAAAAGAGAAGAGGAAAAATTCTTTTTAAAATAAGCTTGAGCTTGCTTCAGTCTAATTCTATCCCCAATTTGATTAAACCTGGGGGATTTTTTTAGAGGACTTTGTGGTGGTGGAAAAGGAAAAAGGATTTCCTTTTTTAGAAAAGCTAATCTACGTGGCAGAATGGCTTCTAAGAAACAGGAAGGAAAGGCAGCAGGGGGGGGGATCCCCCACACATAAGCCTGAACTGCAGCTTCCTCCTGGTCAGCAGAGCCAGAAAAAAGATTTTGATGTTGAAAGTTTAAAAGAATTTATTACTCAGGCTCTGGATGATAAATTTCAAAAATCTCAACAGGAAATTAAGCAAGAAATTAATGAAATTAAAAATGTGGTGAAAGAGAATTATGGCAAGGTGACTAATAAAATATCCAATGTGGTGTCTGGCCTGTCAGAGATTATTATTAAAGTGGATTCCAAATTGGAAGAATTTAAATCAGAAGTAAATGTTAAAATAAAGGATACTGACTATAAAATTTTTGATGTTGATAATAAAATGCAGAGAGTTGAAAACGAAATTACGATGATGCAATTCAGGTCCATGGAATTTGCCATAAGGCTTAGAGGTATCAAAGAGAATGATAGACAAGACTTGAGACAGATTTGTGCTGATGCTCTGGCTGTGCTGTTAAAAATTAATCCTGAAGAGATTTTTTTCAAAATAGACAAAATTTACAGAGTGAACTCGTGGGTGGCCAAACAAAGACAATTGCCTAGAGATGTGGTGATATACTTTACAGATAGAAGAATGAGAAATGATATTCTGCAAAAATCTTTCCTTTCCTCTGTGCAAGTTGAGGGAACTGAGGTTGGAATTTATAAAGAACTTCCACCAAAGATGCTGAAAGATAGAAAAGATTTTGGTTTTTTAGTAAAGGAATTAAACAAATTAGAAATCCCATTCAGATGGGATGCTCCAACGGGCATAATTTTGAAATATCAGGGGAAAGACACCGACTGAATACTGTTGAAAAGCGGAATATTTCTATTATAATGTTTTCAAGGAGAGATCACCATCGCCACGTTCATCTACTGTATTGGAGATAAAGGAGAGTGAGAAGGAGAAGCAACCCCAGCAAGAGTTGGAAGTGCAGCTTAAGCAGATTGAATTAGACCCAACAGAAGCGCAGGGTGCTGTAGGAGGTTTTCTGGAGGAACCCCTGTTAGAATCTTCTCCAATTCTGACTACAAGAGATGTGGCATTGGACCTAGAGCGTATGGCTGAAGCTAAAGACCAGCGAATAACCCGTGCAGTTTCAAAACAACTTAAAGAAAAACAATTGCAAGAAAGAGCTATGGCACAACAATATAAAAAAGGAACTAAGAGTACTACAGAACAAAGGGAAGCCATGGGGAGAGCAAAGTCGGTGGCCTCGGAAGACATCCGGCAATCTTGCTCGTTGCTTCAAAAAGGTATGCATGATGGTTAAGTTTTTGTCTTGGAACGTGAATGGACTGAACTCACCACAGAAAAGGAAGAAAATATTTACATATTTACAACAATTTAATAATGATATAATTTGTTTACAAGAAACTCATATTAGAACGCAAGTTCAAAAATATTTGATAAACTCAAAGTTAGGAATACATTTTACAGCCTCAAATTCGGAAAAAAAGAATGGAGTGGTTATTTGTATAAATAAAAGATTGTCAGCTAAAATTATAGAGGCAGATGAAGGTGGTAGGTTTGTAGCAATTGAATTGTGTACCGCATATGGCCAAATTCTTGTGATTGGGATTTATGCTCCTAACCAACAGCAGGATCATTTTTATAAAATTTTGCATACTAAAATACTGGAACTAAAGGATGTTTGGAGAATACATAACTTAAAAGACTTGGATTATACTTTTTTTTCTGACAGACACAGATCTTTTTCAAGGATTGATTTTATTTTAGTATCAAATGATTTACTTGTTAAAACAAAAAGAACTAAAATCGTTCCAAGAACTTTATCTGATCACAGTCCAGTATGGATAGAAATCGAGACTGCAAAAATTGAGAGAAGATCATGGAGACTAAATGAAAATCTGTTTAGATATGAAAAAAATATAATTGAACTTAAGAAGCAGATGAAAGAATTTTTTGATATTAATTTGAACAAGGGTACCCCTATTGAAATTGTGTGGGACGGCGAGTAAAGCATATATGAGAGGGGTACTCATTCATATGAACTCTAAATATAAACTGAATAGACAAAAGAAAAGAGCTGAAATTGAAGTAGAAATAAAGAAAAAAGAACAGCTACTTATTAAAAATCCAACAGATGAAAGAACACATAGTGCTATAAAACTTTTGAAAGACCAATTTCAAATGCTTATGGTGGACCAAGTTGCAACAAATTTACAATATGCAAAGCATAATACATTTTGTAATGCCAATAAACCGGGCAGATGGCTGGCTTATACTTTAAGGAAGAAGCAGAGTATGCGGACCATCGATTGTATTGATATTGGAGGGACAGAAATTTATCAACAAAAATTAA